TTTTGTTTTCTTGTATTTTATCGCTCTGCTGACCCTTGGGGTCCATTTTATTTTGGTATACCTTTTCTAGGTACGTTAGCCTGTGACCACGGAAATTGGCCGAGTCAAGTGATGGATTAGTACGGAGAGATTGAGACACAAGGAGGTACTGGATAGAGAGACCGGGATGGTTTTTAATGTGAAGACAACAACAACAACAACAACAACAACATGGCATTACTCTTTGGACAGTAGTCGTTGGTGAGCTGCAAAGCACGTGCCATGCGGAGCCGTGAGCGGCAGTTTCTGCTGACCGCTCCATTCTGCCGTAAATGGGAGCGGAAAGTGCATCCATGGGGAAGGAGTGCAGCGGGCATTTCGGGTAGCGTTTTTCTGTGTATTTTTCGTCCTATTCTAAGACTAGACTAGTCTCGTCTACAACGGAGAACCGAACTTCCTTCTCCTGTAAACCGTACCTACGGCGCTTAGACTAGACGAAGTTACAGCAGTAGTGTTGTTTAGTGTTACCCAACACTAATGCTGTGTAGCCTAGTGTGACTCGTTGAAGTTGGTTCGCGGAACGAACGGTAGAGTACATCAGCCGAACTTGCTGTACTTGTAGACTCATGCATGCATAGACAATGGATTGCTGTAAGCACAGCCTCCAACACCACCCTCGAGTTTGATCTCAATGGGACGAAGTATGTCCTAGCTCCCGTCATGCTTGTGAATGTCGTCTAGACAGACTACAAGAACTCGCTCAAACTTCGCGGATCCCGTGCATGATCCACTTGCACCACACAGGCATTGACTGCATGATCAAATTCCCAAGTGATGCCAATCCAAGAAAAGGGCATTTACAACCCACGGATTGAACGGATTGTCAGAGAGAGAACCACAGTCCAAACATCCACCTAGGTGGAAACCCCGGGAAATCTCCCGGAGCGTCCCCGAAGTGGTTCTCCTTCTCCTCCTAGAACAGCAGCAACGAGCCGCCGTTTATCACGCGGCGGAGAGCCGTCTGCAGGTGGCAGCAGCGGCCCGTAGGACCCACCCCACCCGCACGCTGATACGGAGGCAAAGCTAGGCCGTAAAGGAAGAAGAGGAGGCAGCACACAACATCATTACTGGTGAGATCTGTCTCTGTCGTGCTGCTGTGATGTGTTTTCCTTTGGGTCTACAACCTCTCTTGTTTATGCGGCAAAAAAAAGGGGAGGAAAGAGTGCGGGGAGAGACAGAAGTACAGCAGAGAGAAGACGAGTGTACTTCTGTAGACGCAACAGCTATCTCCACCCATAGGCCATGAGGGCTGCCCGCGACAGGACGGTGGACACAGACAGGATCATAGAAGGGTCGATGCGTGGTCGCGGTGCGGCCAGCAGCGCAGTTTTCGCTTGTAGACCTCGAAGAGATCAGTGGTCAAGCCGCCTGAATTACTCTATTTTCAGTATATTCAAATGATCAGTGAAAACGATCAGTGAGAGGGCATGGCTGGTTCTTCACCAATGTACTTCTCTGTCCCCTCCCCAATGTGAGCTCTACCGGCTCACTACAGCTCATGTGATTTTCCCACAATTCCCACAAGCACGCAAGCACACACCAGCACACACCTACCTTTGCATCAGTGGCTCTCTAGGTTCGGGCGAGGGCACGTGTGGGGCTATCTATGCTGATATGTGGTACTACCTACTCTGCTGATATGTTGGACTCGTCTCTACGGCTGCTGCTGTGTAGAGTAGCCGCTGACACGATGACTGCTGTGCTGGATCTTGGGAGTACGATTTCGAATTTGGAGGAGATGCAGCATACCACGATATCCTGGCCTGTTTGGGCTTGAAGTGCCCCTTGTCGCTGTCCTCCTGTCTTTGCTCTAGTGGCTTCCTGGATTCGGGCGAGGGCATGTATGTGGAGCTATTGATGTGTGTCACTGTGAAAGGATATGGGGAGAGATTCATGGTCGTATTCGCATTTAGAGCAGTGTGCATTTTTCTAATTTTGGCCGTTCCAGGGACCTTGATATTTCCCGCTGGCGCTAACGTCTTTACATTGGCCACCGGGTAGCGCGGTCGATGCGAATAATAAAGGCACACCTACTTATTGACTTGCCAACACCTGGCGTGGAGGTATACAAGGCGGCAACTCCATGACACGCCACAACACCAGCATTTCGAAACAAATGATCAATCAATCAATCATGCGTCAGGACGCCTGTAGACCCAAAAGGTTTAAACAGCAACGGCTGCACCGCCGTGTGCGTGTCGTTCTTTCTCAGTGTTGCTGCCTCCCCCATGCTGTCGCTGCTGCTCATCGGTACGTCGGTCGTGTGAGGACAGGTGCGGCCAGGCCCTGTCTGGTTTTGTGTGCGTTTACGCGCGTCCTGGCCGTGTATTCCGTTGTAGACTATGTATCACCCTTCGTGCCCATCCTTCGTTGCTGGTGCTGGTGGTGGCTACTGGGCTGATGCTGGTTCTGGGTCATGTGCACGCATTAGGGCCCACGCATCTGCCCTTGCCCAACCCGCTTACGCCATGTGTCTACCCTCTACCCTCCATGCTCCTTTCATGGGACCCGTGTCCTGCCGTGTGGTGTTGTCTTTGGTAGGCATGCTTCCATCTACATGTAATGCTGCTCTGCCGGCCTCTGGCGGTGCGGGCGCGGCCGGAGCTTTTCTTGTCTACCCTGTCCAAGCCCACCCTGTACAACAATGACAGCAGCCGATGTTCGCCACCAGCCCTCCACCGCAAATGCAGGCGAGACGTCTTGGTTGTTGCTGTGGTGCTGTTGGTGTGTCATCCGCAATTCTGGTTTGCGTGCTTTGCTCGTTGTCGCTGTTGCTGTTCCCCATGGCCCCATGACAAGGGTACCGGTACCTGGCATTCCCCCCGTCCACATGGAGGCGCCCTGTACAGGTCTTGCCGTTGTGTCCGCGGGTGTAGCATATCAACATGTCAATGGGTTTTCCATCATGCCTCATGTGATTTGTCTCATGATCAACACTTGATATGGTGTCCTGCCCCTCCGCCGTGCGGTGGGTTTCGCGTGCGGTTAGCAGGCCATGCTTCCACCTGGTTCTGCTCTGCCGTTGGGGACTCCGGCCCCTGGCGGTGCTCCCGGTGCTGGAGTTGCATCCGGTGCTGGCGCGGCCGGAGTCTTTGCCGGCTACCCTGTCCAAGCCCACCCCGCACAGCAACAACAGCAACCGATGTTGACCACCAGCCCCCCGCCGGAAACGCAGGTGACAATGCGCGTAGTGTTGAACCTTGACGAACGACGGGGAGGCCGCCATGGCCTGGGTCAACGACGCGATGCATGTTTTGCTTGGCCAGAGTGTACTTACAAGGAGCTCTATCGTGTGCTGCCCGGTGCATTCGCCTGCTCGGTGCTGTAGTACAGTAATCCACTTCGGGTATTTGTGTGCTCGGTGCCCCACTGCTCGGTGCCCCACTGCTGTACAACCCTCCACACCCCGAACCACGTGCCTCTGCCTAACCGTTGTACTGCGGCTTGAACACTAGGTGAACAACCCGGCTGTGGTAAAGACGAAGCTCGAGGCAGTGCCGACGGAGGGAAAGACACCTGAAGACGTAGTAGAGGAGGTGGTGAGAACGTGCACCGGCGAAGGGGCGATCCTTTCTACAGCGAAATCGACGAGGTGTCGCGACGGCGCAACGGATCGTGTGGACATCAAGAAGCTGATTTGTACTCGAGGCGGGGGTTGCCGGCAACTGGAGTACGAAGCCAGGCTAGACACTCGTGAGTGTTTCATCCGTTGCACTTGCGCTCGTTAGGAAAACGATTGAGGCGATGAGCACGGGGCGAGTCGCGGGCAAGCCTATTGTAAGCATGTGTGCTTCGGTGCAGGTTCACACATGACACACGGCCGATGACACACCACCTTCACTTCGTATCCCATATCGTTGCGTGTTGCCGCACCTGGGGTAATACGGCGTAACAGGAAGGGAAGCGCGAGGACTGGTTGTCCGTTTGAGGTAGGTACTGGTGTCCCGTATTGCATGTTTTTTGCAGTGGAGCGAGCAATGTTCGAACAGGTGAATAGATAGCGGAGGCCTTCGAGCGCGAGATGAGTTGAAAAATGTCCAAACTAACTGCGGATTTGGAAATGGGCGAGTCGGTCGGGTGGCTTGTGATCCATGTTGTGATCCATTGCACACATATCCCACGTATCCATCGTTTTATCATCCTTCCTTCTCCTTGGTTGTGGACCCACCGTTCCGTTACGTTAACTTAGGTTAGCATCCGGCACGCGAGGACCCACCAGTGGCCCAAGATTTCCAACATGAAGCTCGAGCACAACCACGTCGTCAATCGCGAGGCTATCGACGTGAAGCTCCGCTTGGCCGGAAAGCTAACGGAGGAGCGGCGGGGACAAGTGGAGAAGATGATAAGTGAGAAGATTGAACGCGTTGGAGTAGGTCTTCAGTAGCTCCCCTCGAACCCCATGGTTTGTCGTGGTGGGTAGTGACGATGTCGCATGACCAGCGACCCTTATAGCGTAGCACTGCTGGCGCCTACACCTTGCTAACGGGCGGTCAGTGACACAACACACGACTTAATGTTTACTCTCGGCCCTCCCATACGACGCAGGTAAGGGCATGAAGCCCAAAGCTGTGACTGAGGCAATGAAGGCGTTGCACGAGGACAGCGACGTCGACATCAACAAGCGCGCGGTGCAGAACGCGGCTGCCAGTGTGCATGGGGCGGAGAAGCCAGGGGATGCTGCCGATGCGTACGAAGAGGTGTGTCCATTTTTCCGTTGCGACTGGTGTTGCCTCTCTTTGGTTGTGTGTGGGGTGTTTGTTGCTCGGGGTGGTAACCGGGCGGCCATATACACACTGTCGCTGATCGCACTCGGGGGAATTCATGCCATCACACCAAACCAAGAATCAATGGCCGTCGTTGTGGTTTCTTGTTGACGACCTCGACATTTCCGGGCGCTTGACATGTTGGGTTGTGTTTAATCGCAATGAAATTCCAGGTCATGGTCGTGACTGCCGATGGGGGAGTGTGCGAGATCAAGATGGATGACAGTGGCTGCCTGACGCATATCTGGTGGCAATCGAGAGAGCAGGTACGTCGCCGGTCGTCGTGCCCCAAACGAAAACTCCCCTTGCGTAAATGGTTTGCCTTCATTTAGTCATGGTGTCGCACGTGCCGCTCGGCCGTCCGCAAATGTAGAACGTCTGACAGAAAGCAGGACGCAAGCAAGGGTGCGGGTGTGCGGGTGCGTTGTGATGCGTCCCACAAACGTCACACTCACAATGAAGTGCTCTCGGCCCCCTTCGACGTCATGCTCCGAATACGCAGGTGGCGCTTTGGAATCGGTATGGTCACATTGCGCTGTACGACGACACCGCCGTCAAGAACAGGTACCGCATGCCCCTCGGCGTGCTCGCCGTCATCGATTCGGATTATCGGACGCGGACCATTGGCCAAAGCACAACGGCGGACATCACAACGGACACTTTTCTGTGGATGTTGAAGGGTGCGTTGAGGTCTCGCGGGGGGAAGCGGCCGGATATCTTCATCCAGGACGCGGATGCGGCCATGACGGCGGCGGTGCGCGAGGTGTTCCCGGAGGCGCTGGCGAGGCGCTGTTTATGGCACCTCAACCAAAACATCATGAAGGCCCTCGCTAAAGACCTTGGCGGGAAGCTTAAGGTGTGCTCTACTGTGTGTCTGCCGCGTGCGTTGGCGTTGTTACTCTGGCCCCTCCTGGTCTCCTGGACGCGCGACGTACGCTGTCCACTCTACCCCCCCTCCCCACCCCCGCTACCACCTGCATCCCCTGTGCTAACCCCTGTGCAAGTTCGTACGTTGTCATGGACCAGTAGCGTTGTCGTCCAATTGGAAGAGCGGTTTCCAGCGTCGTTGCGTACCATAGGCGCGTCTCGTGCACACAGAAAAAGCAGCAGCAGCAGCAGCAGCAGAAGGTCGTAAGCACAAATGGCCTGACGCTGACTTTTTTCAACCCCTCGTCCCTTTTTCTTGTCGGCTCACCTTAGCGCTAACGAAATGTACGAGGTTGTTGTTGGCAGTCAATCGTATACGTCGGTACCTCATGCGCCGAGGCCCCAACGCACGGAACACCCACTCGGCCTACCTATTCCGGGAACGGCCTGCCTGTTCGTGTTTTCCTCTGGCTTTCATGGACGAGTTCAGGTGTGTGCGTCAGCAGCTGTCATTGGCGAAGCTCGAAGGTGAGTTCAACGCCCTCATCGCCAAGTACCCGCAGACGGAGAAGTACATGCGAGTGGTGTACGACGACCGCGCGCGGTAGGCGGAATATGTGTCGCCTCTGGTATTCTCCGTCGGTTCGTGGTCATCAAGAGTTGAAGGTGCGTTTATGCATCTGCCATGAGCGTTTCGTTCGAGAACGACAGCGCATGTAGTGTAGTGTTGGTGTTGTTGTTGATGTTGGGAGTTGTTCTACGTGACTTGGGGTTGGGGGCGGTTATCCGGCTTGAGTGGCCCCATGTACTCTGACGTTGGTGGTGCTTCTTGACAAATTTATCGCACGCCGTCAGTGAGTACACAGGAAAACGCTACCCTCCATGCCGCTAATCTTTACCACCTCTTCGAACCATCTGGCTGTTGTCCGGACCCTGTTGTTCCGGAATAGAAGTACTTTATCGGCGCACTGTTATCGTCCGGCTCCCGCGTACATACATATGTGGCGATGGGGCGTCAAGCTTTCTGTCCATTTCATGGGTTTCCCTTCGAGTGGTTTGCCCTCCAACGACTTGGACGATGTATGATGACACCACCAATCACTAACCTACGGTCGGTGTCTCGCTTCTTGCGTGTTGGTCCGCCGCACACACAACAGGCCAAAACGCCCTCATCAGGGCCAAGTGCAACTCTCGCTTCTCGCTTTTGGACGTGGCAAAGTACTTTTCGGGCATCATCTGCTCCCAGAAGGATGCCGCCGCGCTGCGTGACGCCCTCGACCACCTGCCGCCTACTCGAATGGCGGCTCCACCAGCCACCGCTTTCAAAACTGTCCTGGAGTCCTGCGAATTCTCCATCGCGGCCTGGCCAAGGCGGGTTCATGGAGCAAGCGATGATCGCGGCCATCATGTTTTGCCAGATGGGTGGTGGGGAGGTGGATGGACCAGAACGCGCGGCAGCTTTATTCCGTATACCTTCCTGAAAAAACACGAAAAACAAGTGGCCACGGTCCAGTTGCCGTAGAGATCATGAGGATGGCGTGGTGAAGAAGCCGGGAGGATGGAAGCAGAAACTGTGGAAGGGAGACAAGTTGGAGCTGCTGCTGTTTGGGATTCCAAGGGACATGACGAGGATAGAGTTCAAGAACTATTGTGACAGGGAGGGACTGCACTGCCTGGCAAGGGGCCAAGTAGGCAGAGAGCATGAACACTTCCGGGTAAAATTGACCAAGGGAAACAGCCAAGAGTGCTTGGGAGTTGACATCGAGAAGCTGTCGAACTACATAAGGAAGTTTGGATGGGGGTTTGCATCGCGAACATGATAGAAACAGAAAGGTAAGGAGACAAGAGGCGAGGGCGACGGAGGCGAAGAAAGGACCGAGCGGGGGAGGCGAGCAGGCAAGTCAGTAGAACGCCGAGAAGAAGCGGAAGGCGAACGATAGAGTGCGCAAAACCTCCAATAGGGAAAAGCACAAGCTGAGAGTCGGGTCGTGGAACGTGTGCGGGTTCGCAAGGAGTGAGCGCAAGCGGTTGGAAATAGTGGACCAAGTAGAAGAAAGCAATCTAGATGTAGTGGGGATCCAAGAGACGTGGGAATTGAAGGATTGTGACGCGGTAAGCAAACTAGGGAAGTACCGGTGGGTAGGGAAGGCAAGAAAGGGCTTAGTCCCGAAGAAAAGGGGGGAGGGGGGAGTCGGATT